TTCAAGTATAATTCAAACACAACAAATCAGAGCCAACATGCATTAACTCTATCAAATCACAAAATCATGGGAAAAAACCAACAAGCTCATCACAACAGTAAATGTAGATAAAAGTTTGAATTTTTTTTTTTTTTTGCTAATTCTTTGGTATCTAAATGTTACATTAGACCCAATTAATTTAAAATTGAATCAAGTAAGATCTCATAAAGAAGAAACTCTCTCAACATTTATTTTTTCATTCATAATACTCGAACTTAAAATTTTATTAAAAAAACCGAATTAACTAAATTATTTTTACTCAAACCAATAAATCATTGGTAATTTGAACCTTTTATAGTCGCATTAATTTTATAATTAAAAATTTGAAAGTATTTATAATTCATACCCCTTTTGTCTCAAAATAATTATTATTTTTGAGATGGAGAAAGCTCTAACTTTTGTCAAAAAGTAGAAGTACCAAAGTGGATGCACTGACCCGTTCCATTCCTTGAAATCCATGGTGACCTGTGGTCCCAGCAGGTGGAGCAAGCATGGTCCATATGGTCCATTCTCCATAATGCTCTCCAAATTTTTAATGTTTTTTTTATATAATTAAAATTATTAAATAATATTTTATAATTCGTCCTCTCAGTATGGTTTCACATTTACATCAAAATGGATTGATTAATACACATCTGACTTTGTAGCCGCTTAGTAACAATGTGTATGATGGATTTGGTTCAATCCCTCTACCCCCCAATAATTGCCCTTGATAAAAAAAATGGATTGATTTATACGAAAGTCGCTGTTGTGTTTTAAATAATTGAAGGACTCAATTAGTGTAACAAATTAAGCTGAATGACAAAAGGTGGGTGGGCGAGTTTGAGAGTGTATTTAGATTTATTCCCAAAAGCAAAACAAAAAAAAAAGTATTTATTATTAACGATTTAAGTAATTTAGTGATAATTTTTTTATTAAAAATAAAAAAATTTAAATTTTAAATCATATAATATACAGATGAATAAGATAAAAAATAAAAAAATATTATTTTTTGTTATACAATTAACATAAAAAAAAAAAGTATTTATGAAAGGTGTTTGGTTTGGATGGTGCCGTTTGGGTAATTTAGAGTTCCACCTTTTGCAAAGGACGCGACGTCTTAGATATTTTTCCTCTATCGACAAAATAAATGTTAATTGACAAGTTAGACCCAATACTCTGGTTACCCATGGAGCATATTTATTCACAAAAATAAATGTTATTTTTCGGTATTACACTTTCCATATTATAATTTGGGTTGTTTAATTTGTCTTCTAAAAATATGTGTTAAGTGTGTAATAAATATATTTTTAATAATTAATTTACATAAAAATTTATAAAAATTAATATTTATTTTAACATTATTACTACATAAGTAGTTATAATTGACTAATTAATTAAATTAATATTTATATTTATATTTTCTTACATAAATTAATTATAAAAAATATTTTTAACCTATACTTTCAACATACAAAATAAAATTTTCCTTATAATTTTATTTTAAAATTTTCTAAGGTCGAGAATGTCATTGTGATCTAGTGTCGATTTTTTTGTTGTAAACAACTTTTTACGTAAAATTTAATAAGAATAAGGTTTGAGTCTCACCGTAATGTTTAAAAAAAAAAAAAACTGCTAAGGTTATTTAAATATATTTTGTTATTATTATTATAATCACATTATTTCATAATACAAATTACACGACTGTAAATACGAATTATGAATTCAAGAGGGTCTATGTCTGTATTTAAAGTGTACTACGCCTAATCCAATAATACATGTTGGGTAGTTTGTCAAAATGAATGCGACCACAGAGATATGGTGGGCACAATAATTGTCATGAAAACTTCGTTTTTCTTTTTCCTTTTTTTTTTTTCTTAAAAACTTTAATATTACGAGCTATTCGGCATCTTCTGGTTGTGTTTGTTTATGAAGTCAGCCAACGGCATGCAACCGTGCAAGGATTAGCTCCACAAATTTTCATTCTCAGAAAAATGAAAATAAAAAAAAGGATTAGCTTCTCAAATTCTTCTTTTAAAAAAGGCTCAAACCAAACTATTTAACAATAGTAGTAGTACTAGACATTTAATTTAACTATTTTTAGACAAAATAATTTATTTTTCAGTTTTATTTTGAAATATACTAAAGAAAGTAGTTCAAGTCTCTTGAGTGAAAAAAAGGCAAGAAGGGAGAAGACTAATTTGAACTCTCACTAAGGGTGTGAAACTCTTTATATATTAATGATAAAATCACTTTAACTATTAAGTTTATGCATAAAACAGCCTTTTTTGTAAAACTATTTTTCTTTTAACCTTAATCTTATACTAATCAATAATTTATATGAATA